GATTTTGATGTGACGAATAGGGAGTTCAAAGGCGCAAGCCTATTATTGCCTCAAATATACTGACCTACTTGCTAAAGAACACTGTCGGGATTGAAACTAGACTGTTTGGTGTATTGGTTGTAATTCTAGTGATTTTAGTTCTTCGGTACCCATAATCATTACAATCCCAAAATGTGGTTTACATAACTGGGTCTCTTATCGAAACAGGCGATTGCGCTAATTGAATCATGCGGAATTGGATTTTCATAACTTCGGTTGTTATAGTAAGCCTTTTCTGGCTGAACGAGAGTGGCAGCAAAGATTTCGGTAAGTATTAACGTGTTGATTTCCGTAATAATTTTTACCATTTGGGCGATACCTCCATTTGAGAGTCTGCCGGCCATTCTCAAGACCAAAATATTATAAACTGTAGGTAGATTCACTATAGCTCTGTTGCAGTAAGGGCCCCGGCCAGAAAGACCCTCGCGCTTTTACTGGACAATCAAACATAATACTTTTAACGTTTCAATTAGCACACTTCCGTGTGGTTTAAACCTAAGTTAAAAGTGCTTTGTGTTTGCCTGTAAAGGATCCTATAACCGACCACGTTCGGTTATGGAAGGCTATTCCTTTCGAAAGTACATGTTTGATGGATTTGCTTGGCTGCCCTATGGTCTTAACTATACGTATTCGTTCTGATGGCGACGTTTTAATTTTTGTCTGGATGTCACACATCAGTAAAACAAAGTGTTTACCAGCTTACTTCACAGAGCTGCGAAAATGGTATTTCAAAGCCCGAATCCCCACTCCATTCATATAAATTAAATAACTTTGTGCATTGCCATGTGTCTGAAGTTCTGTCGTAGGAATTGTCTGAGCCGAACCCTGACAGGCTTATCATTGCTCTTTTGCGCCGCTGATCGGCTGGCAGGCTTGAATGTTCGTTTAATCATCCTGGCTTGTATTTTAGCCAAACGTTCACGTTGCTTCTTTTTGGTTCCCTCCACTTCCTTATAAACTTCTAAGTTTGCTACCGCTTTTGGGTCCTCTGCTCTACGAAACCTACATCCCACCTTGTTTTTAAACGTTTCTCACAGCGTGACAACGTTTGCGTGGATCCTATTATTAGCATGGTGCCCACCTCAGAATAAGGCTTATGCTACTTTTTCGTTGACGCTTTCTTACTCGTCAAGGTGTTTGCATTTATTAAAAAGTCAAACCAATGGATTCATATACTTTTCAAGTGGTTCTCTAGTAACGGACGAGACTGACTAGAGTAAACATTTGCGCTAGGTGGACTCTGAGCTTTGGATATGGGCCAATTTATTGACTGACCTAGATGCTATATTAGTCGTGTAATGAGCCCACAAACTATCGTCTGTCATTGTGTCAAGACGAGTATATTTATTCATCATAAGAAATTTAAGGCATGATCTACCTCACATACAGTTCATTTGTACATACGCGATTCGTCCGATTCAAACTGACCAAGAGGGATATTTGACGCGGTGATTTACATCATCTCAGACCCCCGTCTTTCGCACGGCACACATGATCTGCCATAACGACGGATTGCTCCTCAGTATGGGCTCGACCCTCCTTTTCTTCTCTTATGCGTTTATTGGTGTGATTTGACACGGTAGTTTTGTGTAATGCGCGGACCTTGCCGATGTGGAGGAACATTCCGTTACGGTTGGCATGTAGGTAATGTGGACGGCGGGCGAATTTTTGTGTTCTTTTGGCAGCACGTGTAGGCGATGACAGTAAAATCAGGCACCGATTATTAGTTCACACTGCGGTGTTCAGCGCTGTTGCAGCTTGGTTACTGTTGTTGGTTGCTCTTTGCCTGATCCCGCAGCCGGTCTTCTTGACTCTGTCTTGACGCCGGGCATGGAGGGGGGAGGGCTTCGAAAAGGAAAGTGCGGTAGGTTATTTGCAAGTCTACTACCACTTAAACCAATTCACGCACAAGTGACCGAAACCTTGTTTTCAGCCTGCTGTAAAGTATGCGACGAACGTCGTCGATGTTGATGGTCGAAGAATCGGTCTGCTTTAATGTATCCTCATATTGGTAACTCAAGAACGCCCGTGCGATGGAAACAGGTATATGTGTCTGTGCTTAGTTGTGCTGAGATTATCGAGAGTCCGAAGTTGTCCAATAAGACCAATATAAGCCTAGAACGCGCGAGATGGGGTTTGAAGAGGACATTGCAGACCTCGGCTTCGTTTCTTCTATTTTGTCGAGATCTTGACGACTGTTTGCCGAGTCTGTTGGTTTTCCAGGCACACCGGGGGTTATTTTCAATGTTTCATTCTAACGCGGTTGCCCAAAAATACGCAGAACAGTTGTTTGCGTATGCGCTTATCAGCAGTACTTAGGATGTTATTGCTCCATAACAATTATATATGTTCTGCATAATGGTAGACTTCAAGGCCTAGATGTCTGTAATCTGGCTATTTAGCTCCGCTTCTCAAAAACACCTTAGGTGCAGTTTTCTGGCCTTCCAATACGTCAAGATAACGGCCTTATGAATTCAGACTTTCTTATCAAGGCAATTTCAACCTGACTGTTTTATTATACTAAAGGTCTGACTTGTCTTGAAAATCCGGGCCGTAAGCTGTTCACGCAACGGTTAGGTAATAAGGCCGATCAATCACTAAGAGGCTATTGTTGCGGATATTACTTCTGTATTCTGTATAACCGACAGTTTGCTCTAATACACGTCTCAATATGAATACTATTCTACCAGCTTGGCAGTTGGAAGTTCATCAGCATTCCGGGCGGAAGAAGTTTGAAGTCACGAAAAAGGTCTGTTTCACCTCCCTTGTCGCTGTGGTGGCCTACATCATCATGCATCCCACAAAGCCTAGCTGCGAAATAAGCAGGTTTCTGGGTCTGGCGAACAAGCAGTCGCGGGCCAGCAGCGACGGTGTTACCAGGGCGCCGAGGGCTGAGGTGTAGTGCACCGAATGCCTTTTAAAAGGCCGCAACTCGAATGACGGCACTGGGACATGGCCGGCGTGAACC